TCTGGGCTGCGAAAACTTCGCTCATATGTGACTCGGCCGGAATGACTTTTTTTTGCCCCCCCCCTGTATGCCTCCCCTTCAACAGCAAAACTTGGGAAAAGTAGGAAAATTTTCCGGGAAATTCGAAAAACTCGATAGGAAATTTTTGGGATGAAAAAACTGGAAAATGGGGGAAATTTGTAGGTAGGTGTTGGGGAAGGGGTGGGGGGGTCGTACAGAGGTCCCCATTTAGGTCGGGGGAGAGGTCGTTCACACATCACGATGCTGTACTCTCTATGGGCAGCTCTAGACATATCCTGCAGCTGAAATCAGGCAATCTCTTATTGACCCCCCCCCCCCGAGCAGCCAGACTGGCGCCACGACAAAACCCACTCGCCACTGAAACATCCGCGACTGGCATCTGTCACAATGACTGTGTTTACTTGGCATGCCGGGAGGTCTTCTTTGGCTACAGAGATCAGGGGACGCCGCACGTTGGGGACCCTTCTACGCAGGGAGGAGGGGGGGGGAGGGGGGGTGGTGTATCTTGATAGGTTGGGAATAAGGTTGAGTGTCGCATTTGATCAGACAAATTTTGTTTGATGATTTTCCCTGTTCTTGCGATCAGCAGCGCACTGTACTTACTAGTTCGATAGTTGATCGACCCCTCCCCACCTCCAGCTCTACGGACTTTGGAGAATTGCCGTATTTCAAAAAATGTCCCCCTAAATATCAGTGCGCTGGTAAATACATGGGGACGTCTTCGCGTTGGGAAACTTTCAAAACACCACCTCTTCCCCCCCCCCCCCCCTCCGCAAAACCGGCTGAAGGTGAACGTGTAGGCAGAGCTGCAACTGGCAAGGGGAGAGTTCCAGACTTCCCATTAGAAGAGTATGCAGCGCGTGCGAAATGGGAAAAACCAGTATTCACAAATTTCCGCCCGACTTAATACGGCCTCCTTCTTCCTGGAAGCGAGAAGAGTACAATGGGCACATCCTGCCGTTGAGGGGGAGGGGGAGTTTTCGCAAAATATGCGCCCACAAATGTTTCCCTCCTTGGCACGACCAACTTCTCTATCCTATCTTCTCTCTTCCTGGAGCTTCCCCACGTTCTCACCACTTGTCCTGAGTTTTCCTCGGAAGAGTGTCGTAGAGGTGGGGGAGGGGGGGCGGGTGGTAGGCTGAGCAAAGTTATAGCGACTGGGAAACAGTGAAGATCAAAGAAAGCCAACAACGGAAAAGCATTTTCACGAAGGCAAACACGACCCTCTACCCTTTGACGGTCAAATGAACCCCTCCCCGATCGCTGGGAATCCCTACGCGCGACTGCCCTTATCCCCTCCCCCGATTGACGAGTTCCCAAGATAACGAGTCCTGACAGAAATGCAGCTCTCAATAATTTCTGCGGAGCCTTCCCTCTCTCTAGGGGAATCGGCTAACATTTCCGTTTTCTCGTTTTGCACGGCAAACTATGGCAATCAGAGAAATTCGAAGGTCATTCCGATCTTGTGGACATCCATCTCCCATGAAAAAAAAGCCCGCAGATGTCCCTTTCTCCCTGAACTGTTATCGTCCACTCAATCTTTCATCTTCCTTCGTTTACGATTCTACGCCCGAAAAACGAATGAAGGTGCGCTTCTTGTGATGCGTGTGTCCGATTTGTCGTGATGATCAGAAGACGGCAGAACAGCAGATGTCTCTCATGGTACGTATGGCGATTGGCATACGTCCAGAATTATTCACTACATTGAAAGCCATGCGGCTACGACAACACAAAGATGTGCTGCATAATGTGATATCGCCGTGGAATCGTAGATGAGTCTGTTGGATGTTCTCCCCCTTAGCCCATACGACCCTATTCACGCAGCGATAAACTTGAATGGCTCGGAAGGATGGTCTTTCTCAGCCTCTCTGACTCTCCCGCAGCCAACGAACGTGACCCGTCCTCCAAGGCGGGACTTTGCACTTCCGCTTAGCCGCATCTGCAGTGACCGAAGAGGAAAACACGCCTGGTCAACAAAGCCACTGAGCAGGTCGTCGGCGGAAAAGAATAATCACGCAGAAATTCATGGATAAAAGCCCTTTCTGCATGATGACATCTACTCTACCCCCTCCAAACACTACAAGAGCAGAAAATAAATCGCAAAATCGAAAGAAGGACAGAAAATTTTAAGTAAACTAGCACTTGGGATGCGCCCACGTCGCCGTCATAACGTAGGCTTTGCAAGGACGATTGGAGGCGATTTGGAGAGTTTACTCCAAAAAGGCGAATATTTAAGAAGCATAGGATCAGATTTATCCCTGTAATCTCTCTAGAAGGAAAGACGCCTTTGAGTGATCCAAATCTCGGCGGTCTTGGGCGATCACGGCGCTACATTTGACCCTATTATGGGTAGACCTTCTGCCAGAACTTCAACACAAAGATACCATGCAACACCAACTTGTATGTCAGAAATTTGGGTATATTTACTCCTCAATGTCTCATCTTCGAAATTCGGACTCAAGCTTTCCCGAAGTCTACCGAAGGATTACATCTGGCCAGCCGGCCGGTTGGCGTTGGTGGAGTGGGGGGCACTGAACGGCACTCAGCTAAGCTGTTACAGGCCACCTCTAGAAGACCTGTAAATTCCTGTTACCGAATCGGCTTGCTCACCATTCGTTTACAGGTTATGGCCTGTTACTCAGGATGAACCCGAAAAAAGGGCACTAGCGGAAATGTGAAATGTCCCCCGCCCAAGTCGAACGACGCTGTTGTTTGTTACCGGAGGTAGTTTGATCCCCCAGCACCAATATCACCTTCAGCCTGGGGCAAAAATGCCTCCCACTTGATGATTACAAGAGCCGCCGCGCACGTTCCTTCACCTCGGGCCTAGGCACTAAGGGTTCTCTTATGAAATGAATGTGGTATTTCTATCAGGAAGGGATCCAGGTTAGCCTGCGAAAACTTCCTAGGGCCGAAGTCTGGTCGGGCGCAAGGTCGACAATATCACAGGGCGCCAGTTCGGGTTGGTGGGGGCATTCCTGGTTCCAATCGTTCACTGCCGATGCTTACTGTGAAAACATGAGAATCCCTCTAAAACTACGCCTAGCAAGGAGCTTCACTAACACTTGTCAAGAATCTACAAGTTTCACCAAGTTGTAACATGTAATTTGACAGGAACTAGCAAAAGCAACAAGCGAAAGTGCAAGTGCACCTCCCCCCCCCCCCCATCCAAAACCAAACAGAACAATTTCAGCTCTTCACTTCCAAAAAAGGAGAGCCCTTCCTCAAAAGTTGTAAACGGGCGTTGTAAGAAATTGACACGTTCCTCTCTTTGAGTGAATCGAAACCTACCGTGTGCAAGTGAACCCAGACAGCGAGTTCAATTTCACGGGAGGATTGTCGACTCTCCGGGTGGTACGCGAGGTTGTCGATTCGCGAGTAGTTGTAGTAACCTAAAAAATAGGATATGTATTTCCTACGGTAACTCCAGAAATTAACGTGACAAACCTTTCCTGAAGTGGAGCTTTCCACAGTGACGTCATTGGGAGGTGGAACTACGCGCCCATGAGTCAACTGAATGAAATGCAATAAGCGACCATGGTGATCGGGGCATGCGGTGAAGGTCTCTTTAAAACGCCCATTAAAACGCAACCACCACATTAAATGCCTCGGTTTTCAACAGCGGTTAAGATCACATCCATCTCATCAGTGGCCGAGTCCAAATTGTCTCCGCATGCCACCTATAAAGATCTTTTATCAGCTATCGATTTTTTGGCGGAGTTTGGCTTGGTGGGGGCACCCAGTGGTACTCTGTGAAGCTTCCACAGGCTAGCTTGTGAACACCTGTGAATACCTTAGACACAAAAGGGCCTCATCTTGACGCAATCACAAGATGTTTACAGGTTCACAAGCGTGAGCGACCCTGTAAACTTTACATGAACTAAACTTGCAAAGTACAAGATACCCCTCCCAAGCCGAGAGCGCTAATTTTTTATTGACACTTTCGACTAATCCTCACCTTTTTCAGTATTGTGAAGGCCCCTTCAGCGTCACCACCGATAGAATAGACATTACGAATTGTGCGAGAGTAGTTATATGAGTACACCTGAACGGGAAGATACGATCTTAATGGCGTCCAACAGCGATTTATAAAAATCTAGTCGATATAATCGATAGTTGGATCGATATTCCAGCAGTACCTTGAGCTCACTGACATTCTCCTTGAGCGCTTCGGCGATATCAAATGCTGCATTTAGACGATGTTCGACCTGAATTATAACGGTTTTGCCCGGAGCGCAAGCGATGTCACGCTTCATTGAGACAGAAAGCGAAAACGTTTGAAAGGGAGAAAACTAGCGCTGAGAAGCTCAGGCGGAATCGAAAACGCTGGACGCCGTCTTTTTTGAGAGTCAGGTTCTGTTCATTCATGGAAAGATCTGGTTCTCTTCGGAAATCGGAACAGTTTTTGACTATCACAAAACCCAACGGGAGCCGGAAACAGGGTCAAGTTCTGTCTTGGCAAAAAAAGAGGCATCATAGGGATGTGAAATGTTGCCCTTTCCTATAAAGACCCCTTCCTTAAGCATTCGTCTAGCTGGAGGTTTGCAAGAGACGATCGGATGTGTAGATGTACAGAAGGGTACATCATCGCTGTGGTTTAGATTCCTTGCCTACAATACAGGCCCCAACCCCCCTCCGAAATTTTGCCTTCGGTGTAAAGAGAGTCTCTCCCGTTAATCAGGGAAAGGGGGAAGGGGGGAGGGACACCTGCGATCGGCCACCAGGGGTAGGAAATTTCCCATAGTATCATCAACTACAGGGGCCGTGCCCGTCTAGGCCAAATATAGCCTCCTCGGGGCAAATACGGAACCCACTGTCCCAAACAGGTCATGAGTCGGACTGCGACCTCGTGAACATTCTGACCAGCGTCAGGATAGAAATGGGAACCGTAACATCTCTCTCTTTTCATAAGAAATCATAAGGAGATTGAAATAAGCAATAAATCTAATCAATATTATTTCAGTGGTGTCTACTGTGAGATGACCATACCGGAGACCACGTTCAAAGATGTCGAAGATGGTGATACGTTCAAACTACGACTTTCCGTTCAACCAATCGGCAAAAAGGTTTGTCACCTGCTTATCGATTTATTGATCGCTTCGCATGATATGGCTCTTATTATGCTTAGCCCTTTGAGTCTGACCTGGGCGAGGGTTGATGTTTGTGTGTTGCGCAACGGGGATTCCGATAACGCAATACCACTGCACCCAAATCGACTACCATAATAATCTGGGTTTGATAGACGGGGGATAAGATGGTCCAGCCCATCGGTATTGGGGTTTGAAACCTCTGAATGAACTTTTTATTTGTTTGCAGGATTCGTTCATGTTCTATGACCACAAGAAGATCAAGGGTGTACCAATGGAAGAGGGCGAGTATGAGTTCCGTCTCGAAGCCCGAGATAAAGCTGGACAGGTAAGGCACTCCTACAGGAGATTCAGCCAATGTTCCTAAATTGCTTTTCTTCGTTACAGATGGCTTCGGCTCCGTTTCGAGTGTCGGTGACGCCATCGTTCCCGTACAATCACCTTGCCACCCTTGAACTTGACACCCCCGTGCTGCGATTTTCACGGCCATCATCGCTTTCATCGTTCGTACACCAGTTGGCCAACGCTTTTCGATCGAAACCAGATGCCATCACCATTCGGAACATCACAGGAAACTCCACAAAGACTCAGGTCTCATGGAGTAATAACACGGTTCCTCACAAGGTATGTGCTTTTTTGAGATTTTTACAGTACTACTCACATACTAGTTCAAGCAGCGAAAAATAGGTAGAGATCACGGGTTTACGTCATGCCTACCCGTTCTGCTGCGAAGTTGGGATGCCAGTTCTTTCTCAGTACCAAACTTGGCGCACGCAATAACCTCGGAAAGGGCATCTAGACATTTTCTAGCGCGACACTGGGATTCCCGACCGGCCAGTAGGACCAGGACTTTCAACTGAACCTGAAGAACGAGGGTCACCGGAGGTGGTGAAGCATTTAAGAAGACGGTGCTTCTATGACATTAGCCCCACTATTACCCGACGATCCCTTCGAACGCCCCTCCTCCAGAGTGCTAGTCTCGAAAACTTAACTCTCGCACCAAGGGGTCAGCTGTGGAAAAATTTAGGCCAAAGACTCCTCTCTTTACTGGTCTATGGACTTTATGCCTGGAACGTTAACGCTCGTTTCCTTGGTGAGGTGAAAGTGTTGAGCAGTAGAAACAGGGCCTTTGCTGAGCCCCTCCCAGAGTTTCCTCTGACATGACCCCAATATTTCCCATCGTATTTCTACCATCGTCTCGCATTTTGCTGACTTTTTCCAGCTTCGCACCACAATATCCAGCTTTTTTTATTCTGGAAAAAGGAGGGTAGAGAGAGGAGGGTGCGCGCGAAGGAGGGTAGACAGAACCGCAAAGATGGAGAATCTCTTTCGTCAGCCCTATTCCCAAGAAACCCCCATGTGACAATCCTTGCAATTACAGACCAGTCAGCATCACTTCAATTTTCTGTAGAGTGTTCGAAAAAGTGATCAAGAAGGTCATCGTTAAACACCTTGAAAACAACAGGATACTACCGGAAGGACAACACGGGTTTAGAAGTGCAAGGTCAACAATAACGCACATGCTTGAAGCCCTCAATGACTGGACTATTTCATTAGACGAGAAAAAGGAGGTGGATGTGATTTATCTCGATTATGCTAAAGCCTTTGATAGGGTAAATCACGCCAAACTCTTACTTAAGTTGAATCATATCGGTTTACATCCAAGGATTGTCTCATGGGTGGAGTCCTTTCTACTATGCCGCTCGTTTCAAGTCAGGGTTAGAAACACTTTTTCCACTATCAGGTCAGCTCCGAGCGGAGTTCCGCAGGGTAGCGTCTTATCGCCTGTGCTATTTTCCATTTATACCTACGACCTCCCGCAATTGGTGGAGGAAATAGGTGTTAAATGTAAAATGTTTGCGGACGATGTCAAAATTTACAGGGCATTAAGTTCAGAGACGGAGTCTGCACTGATTCAAAACGCCATTGATGCAATTTTGAGTTGGTCTAAGACATGGGAGCTACCCCTGGCGCCTGAGAAAACCGTTGTTCTTCATATAGGGAAAGATCAGGTCGGCAGCAGCTATCACATGGGTGACGTCGAGCTTAGGAAAGTTGATGAAGTTAGGGATTTGGGTTTTATAGTTGATGGCAAACTTTGCTTTGAATCCCACTGCAAATATATATCAAATAAAGCTGAGTCGATGCTTTTTCAATTGCTGAGGAGTCTTTATACCAAGGACCCATGCCTTCTAATAAGGGCGTATAAGGCCTTTATCCGCCCTATGCTAGAGTATGGCACTGTCATTTTCTATCCGCATAATAAAAAGGCCATCTCGAGATTGGAGACCATTCAAAATAGTTTTACTAGAAAGATATTAATTCGCGCTCTAGGTTTTAACTATAACGCTATACCCAGAGGGATTGTAAGGAACAAAATGCTCGGCTTGGAGTCGCTGCAATGTAGAAGGAAAAAATTTGATCTCGTGACAGCATTCAAAATTATTACAGGCAAATTGTCGTTAGATACGCGAACTTTCTTCACCTTACTCCCGTCAACGACAAGAGGGGGCCGACTTAAACCTTCGCTGCCCAAGGCCAGGTCCTCCATTAGAAATAAGTTCTTCACACTTCGGGCCTTCTCAGAGTTCTCTAGATTTTGTAAAAAGTGTCCCTTGGCAAACACCACTGCTCAACTGAAGAGGAACCTGAACAAGTACTACGCTTGAGGTCTCACTTAAAATGTATTAGTATACCTATTCTTTCTGGTTAGGCGACATCTTTTTGGAAGGTTGGCCACCTAATATGCTGTTTCTTTTTATTTTTATTATTAAACTACTAATTCATTCTTTGTTCGCTTTGGGAATTTCCATATGTTTGTGAAATCTTCATGTTTGTTGTTTAGTTTGCTCTAACGCAGTCCATTATTTGGCACTTGCTACCTCCATGTGCTTATGCGCATGCAATAAATCTAAATCTAAATCTAGAGGATCACCATCAAAGGCCAGAACCCCCTCTCCGACTAGCAAATGCGACCGTCCCCCACCCATTGAGAGTTTCCTTACGATGCAGACAGCGCTCTCAAAACAGGAAAAAAACAATCGAGAGTAGATTTTCTTGAAAACGATCGCTTTTCTCCCTCCAGCAACCCACGACGACCCTTCCCTTCCTTCCGCGGCCAAGCACGACCTCCACCTCCTCGCTGGATATTCCCCAGTGTACGACGTGCCCTGAAAAGAGAGCGGCAAGGCGTAGAGGTAGAGCGAGGGAGATTGCATCCCTCGAGTCTTTCTCTTGTTCCAGTCCGATCCCTACCACTGAACTATGTTACTGCTGTTACACTTGTCACAAGAATCGCATGAATGAACGAGTGTTAATACGTTTTACAACAGTAACGCGACCGCCTTTGCGCGAACGCCCCGCCCCAGCAGTAGAAAACCGCTCTCAAAATCTGCAAGTTCATGTGACAGTGTAACGCATTATCCGATTACAGCATGTCAGTTTAAAGCATTTGAAAGAGTTCGACGCGTTGATGAGTATTTCAGACGTGCGCTCGCGATGCCCTCGACAACATCCGCTTCACTATGCTAACTCGACAACGATCTCAGACGAAGATCGAGTTTGTGAAACAGATTGGGTCGCAGTTCCACGTCAGAAAGGCCAGTCTTGACTTGCGAGGCAGCTGTGTCGATAAGGAAGTGGTAAGTGGCAGAGAACTGCTTGCTGGATGGCGCTGTTCGGCGTGGGAGGGGCATTTTGTCCTTTCGTTGGTTCCTGTTGAATTGCTCATCTTATCTTGGTAGGACCCGTAGACTCCTGTCGAATATGAACGAAGCTCAAACTGCTGCCTAGCCTTGCAGGAGTTGACAGGCCTCCACGGGAGATATCGGCAATAGTCGATGAGAACCAGCGAAATGCCCCCACCAAGCCAAACAGCGTCCAACCTCTTTATGTAGCCTCCAGAGATCAACTTATGCCATCTTTCAGGAGCCGGTTTCAACAGCACCGACAATGGAGGCTACGGAACAAGCAGCTTTCCCATGGATGGTCCTTATTGGAGTGCTTCTTCTACTTCTACTTCTCGCTATTCTGATCCTAGCCGTGTGCAGCGCGATGAGGAGGAACAAAAAGAAGGTCAGAGAATCCCTGCAGATTAGCCCCAGAAGTATTACGAACCGCTGAATGATCAATTTTCCAGGAGAAACCCTCTGACTACATGGGAAAAGGGATGCCAGTGGTGTTCCCAGAGGAAGTGGCTGAAGACGTTGAAATGGCCCATGCAGCCACACCTATGCTTACCAAAGAGGAGCGACCACCATTTAAGGTGAGCGACGTATGGGATTCTCTTCACTCGGGTTAAAAATTAATTTGGGTGTTTTTGTAGGTGTCACAGCACGAGAACCCGCTCTACAAGCCACCACCACCGTTAGCAGCCGCCTCTCCTCGACTGGGATCGGCT